GAGTTATGTATGTGATCTGTGTATGTTTTATGTGAGCTGTACCTGTTATTCCTCACTGCCTGTGTAGGTTAAGAACAGCTGTTGCTCCTGTACCTAATTTTCCAATGGTCTAGGCAACAATGTGCCTGAGCCCAGCCTATATAAACACTGTGAACCGTGCGCACAGTGAAGAAAAACAGATCAATGCTATAGACACCCAGCTCCCCCCCGCAACCCAGGAGGATAAGCGGCTTAGACAATGTGTGTGTGTGTGTGTGTGTGTGTGTGTGTGTGTGTGTGTGTGTGTGTGCTACAGACGCAAGCCTGGCCTCCTGATCCTGGTTCTAAGGAAAGAGGGGTCTAAAAATTAACCAGTATTTCTGAACTCTATGTAATACTAGTCTTATTTTAAAGCAGTACCAGGCAACAATCACTATTCTTGTGGTTCCTGAATGATCCAGTCCACTCCACAGTTTTGCTCCTGCCAATACATCTGAGCTCAGGCTGAAAATCTCTGATTAACCTTCTCAGGAGTGCTGCTAACCGGAAGACGACACAAATGAAAACGAGGTGGCTCGACTGAAAACCTCTGCAGCAGCTCATTAACAAATCATGAGCATGAGATCATGTGACTAGACACAGACCACTGATGTAACAGTGTTATGAGCAGCGCTGGGGGCTTATAGAAAGAAATTGGGAGGGTAGGTCTGGGGCCGAGGCCAGGGACCGAGCTACTTCGCCTTTGAAAAACAAAAAGTTGAGGTAGGAGTTGTGAGGCCTGGGCCCACAGTCCTCTAACCAATACACAACTCTCTAGAGCATGGAAATAAAATGAGATGGAAACTATGAAGCCATTTAACCTTTAAAGAAAAAACTTGATGTTAGTGATCAGGCCAGTTAGATGGTCCACAATCCTAGAACAAGCTTTCCAACAGCCAGAAACCCTGTAGAGCATTATCTTAACGGGAAAACATCATATCATGAACACTCAGTAATGTAAACACTTTTCCATCACAGTTTAAATGATTATAATCACATCACAGTTACTGCCTTTCCAGAAGAATACTCTTGTTATTGTTTTTATTTATTTAGCACAAAAATAAAAACACTGTGATGTGAGTAAGAGCGCCAGTCTCACCTAAACAGAAATGATTTTCTTAAGTAATACAATAAAAACGGTCTCCCACTGAACGAGTGTCTTATTACGCTCAAAACATGATGACGAATGTCCTGCACGGCTGAACAGCTGAAGACCTGTATAACAGACGAATGGCAAAAATTCCATGCTTTCAAAACTGGATCAGTTTATTCGTGTCTCTGTTTATTAAACGATAGTTTTTCACCGTCACATTAACTAAAAACCGATTAATCTTAGCTGGTCTAACCGCTGCTGAAAAGAATACAACAATGGACACTATTCTACTATGAAAGTGAGTGCATTTACATACACTCAATAATCCGATAACTGCAGAAAATCAGATTTTGTCAGTAATCCGATCAACACGTTTACATGCACTTGAGTAATCAGATAATGGGGAAACTCCAGGTCTACATGAGTCAGGCAATAATTGGATTTCTGCTTGCAGCCACGTGCCACTTTACCGGAAAATCAGTCTGATCTCGCGCGTGTGCAGACTGAGACATCCGATAGAAATCAGAGAATGAGTTTACATGCACTGAGAAATCTGATTACTGAGCTAAAATCCAGCCTCTTTATCAGATTTCTTAATCGGATTTCTAGATCGGAGTATCGCGTTTACATGACCATTTGAATAATCGGATAACTGTAGAAATCCCACTATGATCGGATTATTGAGTGCATGTATGCACACTCATTGTCTCTCTTGAAGGGACTACTGCAACGATAAACAAAGCTAATTCAGTGACAGTATTGGTATGGAATGCAGTTAAATCAGCTCTTAAGGATTCAGTATTAGCCCATCAGGTGAATGCCCGTAAAACCCATACTTATGTTCTTATTTAGGGTGACAGTGATTATATTCGTATGTATAGTGTAATATGGTATTGGCTGTAATCTTGACTGTACTTGTCCATGTTTATTTGCACTGAAGAGGAATGTAAGCTACAAACATCTGTTAAAAATGGAAAGGTGACGTGACACAGCAGTAAAAATCCTCCTGGAACATGGAATAATCGCACATTTATAACAAACAATAAAGTTTATAAAGTAAACATATCATATAGTGTTTTTTTCAGTTTAATACAGAACTTACTAATCACTGCTTTCTGTTTTTATTAGCATGTCACACACTGACCCAACTGTTGTGGAACTGGGTTTGTAGAAGACAGAAAAAGGCCCAATCCTATTTCACCCCTCGCCCCTACCACTTAGCCTTTAGCTTTCTGCTTTACGCGTTCACGTCTAGGAGTAGGGTGTCCTAATTTTTGTTGAGATAGAGGGGTGGGGTGAGGTGTTGGGGCTACATGACCCTCCAAACGGAGGTTTTTCAGAGACTCCAAACAGAGAGATATGAGAAAAACAGAAAAACCGGTAAGATGGAGAACAAGAGACCAAAGAAACCCACAAATGTGAGAATTTTCTCTGTTAAAAAAATTACGATAACCACTGTATTATCTTAGTTTAATGTTGTTTCAGTGTATTATGGTCGTTTTCTTCATAACAAGCATAATAAATCGCTAATAGCATGCTAATGTGTCGGTAACTAGCTAACTTTCCCGTTCCATCTTAAATGGTCCAGCAGTTCTGACACCTGAAGCGCCAGAATGTAACTGCTGCTCCATTTAAGGTGGAACGGGAAAATTCAAACAAGAAGCTGACGAATATCTGACTTCAGCTTCATATCACTGAAGAATTAGGGTGATAATAAATAATTGCCCCCCTCTTTGAAGTCATATGATGCCCTAAATGTAACTAAAGCCCAGCAGTGAGGAGCTGAACTTTACCCTCCTCTGCTGTCACTGCAGACTGGCAGGGTCGCCTACAGAGCAGCGCTGGTAGCTGTTAATGAAGTGATGCTCTTTTTATTTGAGGGTCCCACTTCAGAGGGAAGACTTCAACCACTACCCTGTAACTCAGTTCCAAGGAACAAGGTGACGCTCGACAGCAAGGGGTAGGGGTAAAAATAAGAAAGGGATTGGGCCAAAGACAGCAGAGCAGGATGAAAAACATGAAGACATGAAGGACTGAATGGTGATGGTACCTGCCCAGGAAGTCATCCTTGTCTGGATCTTTGTCATAAACTTCCACCTCCAACTCCTGACCAGGCACCTCATGAACGATGACCTGACAGCCACAGACACACATTTACACACCATCACAGACAAACACAGGACGCGTCACACAGGACAGAACAATGCTGTGGATGAATCCATCAATAATGTGTAAATGGTACGAATGGTTCATCATGATCAGTGGTGACCACTGTCAGAGTTTGTAGGGGTCTGTCAAAATTCACACATCCATAATCCACTTTGATACAATATGATACAGTCGCGTCTTGAATCAATAATTTTTCTGTTACAGTAAAAACAATCTATCTGAGGTGATACGTCTGAGCGTCCGCCATGTTGGAGAGGTCAAGATCCGCTTGTATTGAGAAACGATGAGTCTCAGGATTAAATCAGCCACAACTTCCTTATTACTCAACCGATTTTCACCAAATCTGTTTAGTTATAATCCTCAGTTATAATCCTCTCAGTAGCTTTTATTACTTTAATAGCTGATTGAGCTAATTAGTCGTCTGGACCAGCAGGACTGAGTTTCAGAATCATACACATCAGCAAATCCATCAATGTGTGAATCACTTCTAATCTTAATATACATAAAATAAAATAAACCCCCCTAAACACAGCAAGAAGGGCGAAGCTAAAGTTGGCTTCCTATTCACCAGCTTCTTGTTTGCCACTTTCTGGTGCCTGAAGCTGCACCATTTAAGGTGGAACGGGAAAATTCGAACAAGAAGCTGGCAAATAAGAATCTGACTTCAGCTCCGTGTAAGAAGGTTCTAACATTAATCTATTATGAATATCTACACAGATTAAGGAATGCTGTAACTTACCGAGCTACAAAGCTTTAACCATCACTGTAAATATATAACTACTACATAAAGTTAAGATCCTGAATAGACTATTAAATGAAATGAGCTTAATATAAAACCAGAGGAAAAACAATCACATCAACAGGTTCTCTGTGCCTCATTAACCACACGGCCATATCTACATAAACACCACACAAACAATACACATCACACAAACATGAGTGTGGATCACTGCATTCCCTCCGTTATATAATCCTGTGCCACTTTCTGAGTGTAATATTATTGAAATAGTGTAATTTTGGACAGTATCTTTCTTAAACTGCCGCTCTGTAATGGTACTGAATGCCGTCCAGCAGCGATGCTGACCGCTCCAAAATGGCAACGCTGTTGATGTGCCTGGCTGGACCCAACTCAGCATCTTATTATGTGATTTTAGTAAGCACTGGAAGAAGCTGTGAGAGAGAACTGGAGAGTAAGTTTATTTAGTATTAACCACGACAAATGAGTGAACTCTCCACTCACTGCTGAAGCTGAAACGTTATCTAGGACATGCTAACATGTTAGCCCTGAGCTAATGCACTAGCCTCAAGCTAGCCACAATGTTATTATACGATATGTTGAATTGTTACACCCCTAAAATTTTGGTAAAGCCTACACTAAGAGCGTACAGTGGGGTCCAATGAGACCCTAAAAATGCTTCTATATTTCTATGCATGTTAATGCTAAGAATCTTACATATTTCTGCTTCATTTTATTCCTTTTCTTTGTTTGAACTACTTTGAAATTCTAAAACTTTTTGTTGTTGTGTATAAAAAACATCCCAGTGGTCTCAGACCTTTGGATCCCACTGTATGCAGAAACAACAGCAGCAGTAAATTCAGTCTCTGTTCTCTCTCCTCACATCTCCCTCCTCTTACGCTGTGAAGTGATGGGCTGTGTCTATTTATGTGCATGACTCACCTCGTACATCTCGCCCCATTTCGGGCTGGACGTGTTGTCCTGGTGGCGGGATTTGAAAGATTGCGGCCCCACCCTGATCAAAGCGTAGGGGTCCGACATTCCTGCCATCACACCCTTCACGTAGTTATCCTTCGCAGCCAGATTTTCAGCTTCCAGCAGGTGAATACGCACCACGCCCTGTGTGAACAGTGTATGTGTAGCTTATGCTGAGTGAGATTAATGAGAACATGCACTGTATAAACAAACTGTTGAGAGAACTCGAAGAAAGGTAAGTTTGTTTATACAGCACGTTTCATACACAAAGGCAATTCAATGTGCTTTACATAAATAAAAGCACATTAAAGAACATTAAAATAAAAATAAAGCCAAAGATACAAAGTGCAGTGGTTTAAAAACTAACAATTAAAAGGAAGCACATCAAAATGTTTAAGGTAACACGATGCGTTAAGTTGCTGCAGCTGCTTTAGCGGTCATCCTTACTGAGGTTCATTTGATTAACGCAAATTAGTGGAAATTTAGGCTACATTACATTCACGGCGTTTGGCAGACACTCGTATCCAGACTGAGTTACAGTCTATGTTACAGAGGTAAGCAGCGTTAGGAGTCTTGTCCAAGGAAATTACAATAACATCACCCTCATTATCACATAACGAGACTGCAGTTGGCTTCTTATTGAGACTTTTCTTCTTCAATGTTGCCGTAGAGACGATTTCCGCCTGGTAGTGATGGTTTCTCTCATTGCAGAGTAAAACAGGACAGAAAATCACTTCAGATTTTTCTCACAGCAGCAATTCAGTGTAAACTGGCCTGGGTGAGAACTAAAAATAATAAGTGATATTTTTTTACTTTAAAAAACTGTGATTACTGGGGGGGTGGGGCACTGGTGAGCCGGCAATGGAGTAAAACGCGTTGAAAATGGCTCCTGCCTAACTTCCATTAAACTTCTGTTTTACTGCGCGCTTCCACATTTGATGTTAAATCTGTTTTTTAATGTGTGAAGGACTATTTTGGAGCGAGTTTGAGCTGTAACTGTCGCATTTATGGCTTCCAGTCTTCATAAACACAAATACAGCGGTACTGCAAGCAGCAGGCCCAACGCCTCCGTATCACGAAGTACTGCAGACCACTGCAAATCGCCACCAAGCCCACAGACAGAGCCGAAAATGGACGCTGCGGCTCTGACGTCACGGCTCTGACAGCCGAGGTCCTCACCACACTGAGAACATTTCTGCTGTTATCAAGTCAGAGCTGAAGAGCACACTTGCGGAAGAATTTAGCTCTTTAAAAAATTCTGATTATCAATTATACTGCCCTCCCCAGCTCTGATCTACTTTCTATACTACTTGTAGTTTATATGCTTTTTTTAATAAATAAAACTAAATTATAAAAACCACATATTAAATAATGTAATACTGAGTAACCCAATCTCTCAAAAACTACTCGTTACTGCAAACGCGTGTGTTCATGAGCTCCTTCTGGTGCAGATTCAGGACGCCGCTTCATCTGCATTAATGACAGGTTTGAGTCACTTCCCTAAACGAATGTGAACCATCAAGTTAGAGAGATCAGATCTGAGCAAAAAATCGGATTTGAGCAATGAGGCTTGTAGTGCGAATGCAGCCTTTGTGAATGTATTACCCTGGGCAGAGGGCAGCGCAGCTGGGCCACGTGCAGATCTGGAACCAGCGGGACAGTAAGGCGATTGGGCAGCACCAGGAAGGAGGCGATGGCGTCCATTATCTTAGCGTCTGACATCACACTGGGGAAGAAAAAAGAATAAAAAAATCCAACTCACTCAGCTGTATGAGCAACCTGTATCATTTAAGAGGATAACTAACAACTGGACACTCTGCAATCACTCGATTAGATGCAAATACAGCACTGGAGACTGTACTGGCCAGACCATCACGAACAGTTGGATGGACCATCCAATATATACACATATATAGGCATATTTTAAAAAAAGGACATTATATATAGAAAAGTTAATTTCAGAACGTATATCGCAAAACTCACTCGAGCCCCGGGATGTCGAGTAGGTTGGTCAGGCCGGTCCAGTTAATCTCCAGTTTCTAATGCAGGTGAGAGAGGTTGATGAGGGAGAAAAGAGGGAGAGAAAAAGAGCCGAAGATCAAACAAGAGTGTAAAATCTAGAAGAATTCCACTTTTCACAGACCTCTCTGTCATCACAGCTTTTTAAAAATACATTTTAGGCCAAACTGTCATATCAAAACTGTAATAAATCAGGCAGTGAATTCATAACCATTCCATGTAGTAACTTTCTGTGAGGGAGCTTTTAGAGGTGGACGTCTGGTTCCTATCACCACCACTGTGAACAGTTCTGACTAACAGAGAGTTTCACAGCAAATGAATCAGAATGACTTTTGTTACATCTTAACCATTTAATCATTCAGAATTTTGGAAAAATGAGTTGATTGAGAAAGTACAAGTACTGATGTTTTAAAGGTCTTGAGTGAAAAACTACAGATTTCAGGGAAAGTAGAAACAGACGGGAATAAAACGAGCACAGTAAAAGTAAAAACCAATAGAAATGCATGCAAAGCATTTAAGAAATACAGGGAGAGGGACTGAGAGTGAGAGTATGCTTAGACACTTACAGGCCTGCGAATGAAGAACATGGTAACGGCTCCCACAATGGGAACGTTACCAATCAGAGGCTCCAGAATCACTCTCATCATCCCATGGAGCTGAGAAAACAGCCAGAGAGCATTTCAGGACAGGCTCTGTGGTCATTTCTAGGGCTGCACAATGATATCAGCTTAACATCGGAATCGGCAGATAAATCTTTTAGCAGACAGATATTTAGATTTGACCAATATTTTAAAATGGCATTTAAATACATAATTATTATACTCCAGAATGGAGCTGAACGATTCTGACACTATTGCAATTATGATGTAAATGTGATTATTTATCATTGTATATTTTATAAATTGAGCTCCAGTACCTTTTTTCACTGAAAAGACCAGAACATCTATTTTTTGACGTGAGGCTTGAATGCCGAATATATTGTGCCAGACAGCCAGTTCAGCTCTGCATTATTAGGTTAAATTTCTCCACTTTTTTGCAGCTCTTGTGATTTGAAAATCACACAAATTGTGATTTCAATATAAAAAATGACTAATTGTTCAGTCCTAATACAGAAGAGCAGAATGATTAAAGGGCCCATATCCTACATTTGTCTTGTTTACGTCCACTTAATTCACATTTGTGTGGTGTTCTGCACCACAAACAGTCAGAATTCACTCATTTCCAGCCTCTCTTCATCCCTTAGAAGTAAACAGGCTGTATTTTACTGTTATTTTACCGTCCCTTTAAGACTGATATATGTAAATGAGCTCTGTTCTGATGGCTCTGTTCTGTATTGTGCCTTATTTAAAGAGCAGTCCAGACAGAAACACTCCTTATAACTTCAGTGTGAGTGGGTGGGGCTAAACTGCTGTATGCTGCTTTTGTGGATTTATATGTAAATGTGTTATAATAATAATGAATTTAAAAGCTTGTTTTTCACATATGGACTGGGAAGCGAACAGCAGTTCAGTTGTAGTGTTTAAAGTTGGGTCGCTGTGCAAAATGTAAATAAAAATAGAATGCAATGACATGTAAACCATGTAAACCCTTTGTTTAATTGAAAATAGCACAAAAACAACATATCAAATGTTGAAACTGAGAAATTTTATTGTTTTTTAAAAATATGTGCCCATTTTGAATTTGATGGCAGCAACATATTTCAAAAAAAAGTTGGGACGGGGGCCTGTTGACCACTGTGTTTCATCACCTCTTCTTTAACAGCACTCTGTAAGTGTTTGGGAACTGAGGAGACACTGCTGTAGTTTAGAAAGTGAAATGTTTTCCTGTTCTTGTTTGATACAGGATTTCAGCTGCTCAACAGTTCAGGGGGCTGATTTGTCATATTTTTTATTTTATAAAAAAACAAATGTTATCAGTGGTGACAGATCTGGACTGCAGGCAGGTCAGTTTAGCACCCAGACTCTTTCAATATGGAGCAATGCTGTTGTAATACATGCATTACATACATACATACATGTGGTTTGGCATCGTCTTGCTGAATTAAGCAAGGCCTTCTCTGAAAAAGACGTTGTCTGGATTGCAGCATACATTCCGCCAAAACCTGTTTACATTGTTCAGCATTAATGGTGCCTTCACAGACGTGCAAGTCACCCATGCCATGTGCACTAATGCACACTACTCAACTGTGTCCTGAAAACAAGCTGGATGGTCTTTAGCCCAGAGATCGCAGCATCCTTGATTTCCAAAAAGAAATTCCAATTTTGATTCATCGGACCACAGGACACTTTTCCATGTCAATCTATGTTAAATGAGCTCAGGCCCAGAGAAGGTGGCAGCATTTCTGGATGCTGTTTATATTTGGTTTCTTCTTTGCATTTCAGAGTTTTAACTTGCATTTGTGGATGCAGTGATGAGCTGTTTTCACAGACAGTGGTTTTCAGAAGTGTTTCTGAGCCCATGCAGTGATTTCCACTACAGAATCATGTCTGTTTTTAATGCAGTGCTGCCTGAGGGCCCAAAGATCACGGCCAGCAAATACTGGTTTTTGGCCTTGTCCCTTACATACAGAGATTTCTCCAGATTCTCTGAGTCTTTTAATGATATTATGTACCGTAGATGATGAAAAACAGAAGTTCTTTGCTATTTTATGTTGAGAAACGTTATTCTAGAATTGTTGCACTATTTGATCGTGCAGTCTTTCACAGAGTGGTGAACCCCTCCTCATCTTTACTTCTGAAAGACTCCGCCTCTCTGAGATGCTCTTTATACCCAATCATGTTACTGACCTGTTGTCAATCAACCACCAGGTGTTTTTTTAGCATTACACAACTTTACCAGCCTTTTGTTGCTCCTGTCCCAAATGTTTTGAAACGTGTTGCTGGCATCAAAGTCAAAATGTGCAAATATTTTCCAAAAAAGAATAACATTTCTCAGTTTCAACATTTGATTTGCTGTCTTTGTACTATTTTCAATGAAATACAGGGTTTAAATGATCTGCACATCATTGCATTTTGTGTTTACCTACATTTTGCAGTGTACCAACTTTTTGGAAATGGGGTTGTACATCAAACTCTTTCATTTAAAAAAAGCTAAGAAAATGTGGCTTTGCATTATATGGGCTCTTTAAGTGATACAATGGTTATGACACTTAAATGTCTGCATTTAATTAGTTTTACTGCATTTGCAACCCTACACAAATTTCCTCTGTAACACTAATTATGCATATCAAAATTATCAGATATCAACATCCTCATATAAGTTCATCCCTAGTAAAAGCAATTCTAACAGTTCCAGTCTATGTAATTTGACATTTCAGAATAAGAAACCAAACTGACCTGAATTCCTTTCACTCCAGCTTTACAGAAATACCTCTTCACCTCTACGTTTATCTCCGCATTTCCCACATAGCTGAGAAAAAAGAGAGAGAGAGATACAGTTACGTATCCATGCACACAAACCAAACAAGACATATTTTCCAAATGAGGTAATATTATTATGCAATTTACATAGTTTCGCAAAAAGTCAAGTGGTTTTCAACTGTCTGGCAGTTAACAGGATTTTTTTCTGCTTTCCTGGATTCGGTTACAACATAAAACAGCTCATCCTAATGAGCAGCTTTCTCCATTGATTTGGCCCAAAATAGATGGTCAGTGTGGAAACTGGTCTCAGTCTTAAGTTACTGTTTCCACCTCAGGGACTGTCCAGAGCTGCTCGCAAACTCCCACAACAAATGGCCAGCTGCTGTTAGTCGACCTCCCTCGTCCACAAACTGATCAAAGGCCTGCTTCGGCTGTGAAGGACAATCACCCTCTGTTGTTTTAATATCTGCTGGGAACAGTTCCAGCACACTCGGCTGGAATAATCTCCATAGAAAAGAACTGACCAATAGAAAGGGACACTCTGGAGCAACTGCATATGAGACTAAGGTGACCATGTCCAATGCCAAGCATGGGCTAGAGGGGTATAAAGCCCCCCAGCATTGGGCTGTGGAGCAGTGGAACTGTGTTCTCTGGAGTGATGGAGCTCCATCCAATACCTTTGGGATGAGCTGGAGTAATTCAGAACTGACCATCCAACATCAGTACCTGACCCCACTAATGCTCAATGAAATCCTCACAGCAATCTAGTGCAGGGGTCAGCAACATGTGGCTCTTTTACTGCCCTGTTGAGGCTCCACAGCTGAATCACATTTGTAGGTAAAAATAAAATAATCCTCCTTTACAGTAAAATAAAGCTCTGCTGATCGTTCAACACAGTTTAACAGTAAATGGTCTTAAACTCTGGAGTTAATGTAGAACTGCTGATTCACCCTTTAACCCTGAAGATCAGCGCAGACTGCTGGTCACCATAGCAACACAGTCTCACCTAGCTAGTAGCTAACGAAACGGCAAAGAGAGAGATTTAAGATGAACATCGATAATTTGGAGATAAATGGACTCATTTGCATTTATAATCACTCCAGCTGGTTTCCTGATACGTTTAATCTGCAATGAGAAACTGTCAAACACTAAAAAGTCACGAGGCTGAAGTCGTTTCCCATTCGCCAGCTTCTTGTTTAAATTTTCCCATTCCACCTAAAATGGTGCCTGAGACACCAGGATGTAACTGCTGCACCATTTAAGGTGGAACGGGAAAATTCAAACAAGAAGCTGGCAAATGAGAAGCGACTTCAGCCTTGTAAAAAGTCGAACGTTGAGAGACATTTTATAAGAAACCATTCCACCTTTGTGCAGCTAAAGCTTAAAGCAGAGCAAAGTAAGTCTGTGTTTTTGTTTATATTATATTTTTTAGCCTATACTAGCACATCAGCACATACTGAGACATATTTACAGCCAAGATGGTGAAATGGACATGAAATGTTGTGACTCCCAAAGTGGTCTGATTTTTGTGAAAAGGACAAAATGGCTCTTCTAAACATTTGGGTTGCGACCCCTGAGCTAGTGTAAAGTAGAGGCTGTTACTGCAGCAAAGGGGGACAAACTCCCCATCAATAACCCTCATCTTAGAGTCCACAAACTTTTGGCCATGTTGTGTATTTGTCTGTTTTGCTCTCTCTTTATTTATTCGCCCAGGAACAGTTTCAGCTGTTATTATTCATAAGTGAGATTATGTTTGTTTGTTATATTCTAGGTTGGGTGTATAATACGTATCACGTGTCTAGGATGTATGTGTTGCTTTGCTTGTTCTCTCTCTCTCTCTCTCTCTCTTTCTCTCTCTATCTTATAAGGAACCTGCCTACTCGTGAGTGTGATTGGCTAGAGTCCCGCAAAAACAGACGCATCTGATTGGCTGGCTGTGGGCGCATTGGGTATTTCTGCAGTAGCTGTTTCTCACTTCCTTGAGGCTTAACGTACCTCCATTGTGGCTTGGGGTGAACAGCATAGCAGCACAGACAGATGTTTCACCAGTTGTGCATTGTCTCTTCTATCAGTGTATTAGCTTAGCCCTAATTACGCCTTCTGCCCTGTTTATCTCCACTGTTTAGCAGTCTGTAACTCTCTTATGACAGCCTACCAGGCAGCAGGAGTGGGTGCCGTTTCTTTTGACCCATGTTTTTCTCCTGTTTTTGGCCTAGTCGGGGAGTTAAGGAAGACTGTGTGTATTTCTGTTTCTTCATTTTCATGTAGGTAAATTAGTTCTCGAATCTCCCAGCCAGACTGCTTCTGTTTGCGGTTTGGCGTTTGCCCACTCTGATGTCTGTCCTGTGCTGGTTTGCAAAAGAAGCAGCAAAAGAAAAAGAAAATAACACGACTTGATCTGTTTAAACGCTGAATTGCTCCCTTTTGTTTTCTTTACGTTATAGCTATTGCAAAAGCTCTAGACAGGTTGTAACATTATGAGAAATGAATTGATTTATTCTCATTTATTCATGATAACTGCATGCAATCCCTCCTGTTTTTGGTCTGTTCAGTAGAGCAGCAGAGTGGGTGGATGTCTGTGTACAGGTGTTGTCTAAACAGTAGTAAGTCAAGGATGTTAGAGTCACCTGATGTAAACGTCCAGCAGGATTTGACCTTTTTCATTCTCAGTATGAGCCTTTACACCAACTACCTTCATAGGCTGTGGAATAAAACATACACACACACACACACACACACACACACATTCACATTAACTCACTGACAGAAGAGAAAAAAGCTCAGAGAGGTAACTCTGGTCACGTCTGTTTGTATGAGTAAACAAGATGGTGATCCTGCTGAATTAGGGCTGAGCAACATGGTTAAAAATGTATATCTCAATATTTTTCAGCTTTTTGGCGACAAACAATATATCCATGTTGTCGGAAGAAAACCTTGTATCTCCAAAATGGTGACTTTACAGGAAAATGAAACCTACTTTAATTTTAATGTAAGTCAATGGAACCAGAATTCTTTCCAAGTATTTTCTGAGCCATTTCTTTGGATCCATTCATCATGAAATTTACACACAACATAAAGGGCAACAGGCATTTTCAAACTATGTCAAAAACTGAAAAACGACAAAAATGGAGACAGCAGGGATATATATATAAATATATATACATATGAATTCCCCTTTGAGTACTGATGACATCCACAATATGCTCATAGATACAGACATAGATATAGATCAGCCATTTCAGATCAAACTGACATCTGAACGACTAAATTTTACAGAAATTTTGAAAAATAGGTGGAATTCCCCTTTAATCATATATATACAGTGCTCAGCTCAGTCGTATGTTTAATGTTATACAGAGCACAGATAATGTGGGCCTTATCATTCAAATCCGGACTGCGTTTCCCCAGGAGCGTCGTTAAGCAACTACCATGGTAACAATGTAGAGAGAACGTTCAGAACGACAGTCTCTCTAACATTTAGCTACGCCAGTCGCTCAACAACACTTTTGGGAAATGAACCTCTGCTCAGTTTTATCAGCCAGACCTGTTTTTTGTGGTGAAGCAGCTCGTCTGTATGTTTACAACACAGACAGGCTTTGCTGTGATGTTCGGCAGCGTTTGATGGAGGTGGTTGAGGTGCAGGTGAGGTGCATGTGGTTAGCAGTCAGCAAAAACATAGCATTATTATTAAATTATTATTACGGTGTATTGATATGGTATGCACCACACACACACACACACACACACACACACACACACACACACACATCCTCTAAACCGCTTATCCTTCTGGGTTGCGGGGGGAGCTGGAGCCTATCCCAGCAGTCTGTGGGTGGAAGGCAGGATAAACCCTGGACAGGTCACCAGTCCATCGCAGGGCAGACAGACAGACATACACATTCACACATTCACTCACACCTAGGGGCAATTTAGCATCTCCAATCAGCCTGACTGCATGTCTTTTGGACTGGGGGAGGAAAGAGTAGAGGAAACCCACGCAGACACGGGGAGAACAGGCAAACTCCACACAGAAATGACCCTGGTCACCCGGCCGGGAATCAAACCCAGGCCCTTCTTGCTGTGAGGCGACAGCGCTACCCACTGCATATATAATTTTCAAAAACATTTTAGATGCTATTTTTGTGGGTTAACAGTGGCTTATTATCCTGGGATGTTATTGATTTTATTAATGATTAATTTTATTATTATTAAATGGAGAATCATCCGTACAGGCCTGAATGTAATTGCTGCACAATTTAACACAGAACAAGAAATTCGAATAGGAAGAAAAACTCCAGCAGCACTGCTGTGTCTGATCTACTCAGAGAGTTACTGAGAATGATCCACCACCCAAATAGTACCTGCTCTGTGAGGGTCCATGGGGGTCCTGACCACTGAAGAACAGGGTAAAAGGGGGCTAACAAAGTATCAGAGAAACAGATGGACTACAGTCTGTAACTGTAGAACTACAAAGTGCACCTATATAGTAAGTGGAGCTGATGAAATGGACAATGAGTGTAGAAACAAGGAGGTGGTCATAATGTTATGCCTGATCGGTGTATATTGTTAATATCTGTTTCTAATATTTCGCCTAATAAAAGTATTTTTGATTTACTTCAGCTGTAGAACTCGGTTCTCAGTAAAAGTGACGGGACACCCAGAGCAATACACCACTGGTAATCTACAAAAAAAGGTTAACTTAAGCATCCAAAATGGTTTTATTTCACAAAAATGTACATAAACACAGTTTACCGTGATACATACCGAAACCATCAGTAATCCTAATTTTGCCCATTCTGTCCACTGCAAGTTTGCACTGTTTGTACACCACATTATCTGTGCTTATTTTTGGTTGACAGGTTATGACAAAATTCATGCCTGAGGATGAATTTTAACCCGACTACTCTGCGTAATTAGTTGTGTCTGTGTGTTGTGTTTGCGCTGTATGACCTTGTCCCCGAAGTCAACTTTGGTGAAGCTGAGGGTCTGCAGGTGGGAGCTGGACGCTCGGAGGGACGGAGCGATGCTTTCTGTCAGCAACTTCTCCAAATATTGACCAATATAAGGCCAAGCCTGTTGGATAACCTAGAGACAGAGACAGAGAGAGAGTCAGAGAGGCAGAGGACAAGGCCAGTTCATTGTAGTCATAATAATGAATAAGGCTCAAGCTAACGTGATTACGCAGAATTGAATTTCACTCTGAGATGTTTCTTTCCTCCTGTCACCTGAATTCAATTAACATTTACAATAAATGCGAAGCGTGACTGTCTTTGTGCTTCTGCTCACCAAGCTTTCTCCTAGATGTCCACTGATAATGTACTGACGCACTGACCGTAAACATAAAAGTAACTGAAATGTTCAAGAAACCTTCTGAGAAATATGATGTGAGGTTTCAAAGAAATCTTTAATGCTGAGCAGCTTCTTATTGCTGCTGCGTTTCAGTTAAAGGCTGTTTTTTATTATATAACGTCCTTTGATTTATTTCATGCAAACCATAGCAAGACAGTAGCATTCCCAAACAACAACCTAACTAAACCTTTAAACATACCTGGTGATGCTAGTATATGGTATGGTGATATATTATTGCATATTAATACCATTTACTGTATTAAAGTAGATGAGATTGTTCTGTAAAGGCAGCTGTTGAGCTGAGCTGGTTAAATGCTGCAGGCAGATTTCAGATCTACAGAAAGGTGACTGTATGTTAATGTGCATCAGACAAAACAGCTTCAGTTCTTAAGGGGGAAAAACTCATGAGGAAATTCCCCTCAGCTCTCGTTCATCAGGAGAAACAGGCTGTTTCAAACAGCCTCTGATGAAACGTCTTCAGAGAAGAATGAGGCTAAACTCAGAAACCACAAACTCTCAGATGGCAAAGTCTGTTTAACGTTCACAATTCTGTTCTTTATTAATTACAGTTCGGCTGCACCTTTTCATTTTTTAATATTCTGTCAAATATTATCTTGAATATCTGAATATTCTACACACTTAAAAAAGATGGTTCTTCAAGGGTTCTTTAGTGATCAAAATGGTTCTATACTGAACCTCGAACACTCAAAGAACGCTCTGCATGATTAAAGTGTTCTTTGCATCGTGAAACGGTTCTTCAGACTGAGGGAGAATGTGCTGAAGATGGTGCTATTTAGAACCTTTTAAAAAATGGTTCTGTATAGCACCAAAATGGGTTCTCCTATTGTTATGATGTCAAGCTTGTATAAAATAGCAGAGGCCTTTTTGGGGCTATATAGAACCTTTTCTATCTACTGACTGATAAAAACAGATGCACTGAACCGCGCATGCACAAAAATGAGTAAAAATATCTGTAAAATTTGTAAAAATATTCAAATTACTTTCCAGTTTTTTTCCGATGAAATTGTACAAATTTGATCAAATATTAATTGCAGCCCCAACTTTTATGCAAATTCAGCCGATTTACACAACATTTGGCGTTTACATGAATCTTTTATATTCTGATACTGACCCTAACATCTTTCGTGAAATACATATAAATACGGAGAGACTCTTTCTGTTATTCCGCTCTTTAAACAACTCCATTCAGCTTTTACTAGACAGTCAAGCTCAGTGCTCACTTTTCATAAACATCTGGAAACGAATCTCTTTAATTCAGCTTTTAATCAAAATGTATTTATCTGTTTAATTTGATCTGCTTTATGTGATTTTTATCTAATACTCATAACTTCCTCTATCATAAACATTTAAGGTTAAACATTATCACCCGTCTGTAAAGCACTCAGAGCTGCCACCGGTATGAAAAGTGCTCTGTAAATAAAGATATTATTATTATAAACATTCGTGGATGGAATCCAAGCTAAGGACAGTCAGCACACCCGTGTGAAGAGCACAGAATGGAACTCTTGAAAGAATCGCTTTAATTCCCTGAAGTAAAGGCAGAACGATGTTCAGGGAAAGCTAGAAAGACAGAAAGTAAGAGAGGTCATGCGCTGGTTAATGCCAGCCAGTGCTGCGCTAACTGTCTGCGCAGCTGCTCCTCTAGATAAACACGCGTGTCTGCCCTCTGACCCACATCCAAACGTCCACTCTGTCGCTCTCGGCCAGCAGAGCACAGCTGCTTTCACTCTACCAGCGCCTGTTTGCTTGGTTACTATAGCGACGTGCTGGTGTTTGTAGTGTTCGCGGATATGGCACGACCACAAAAGCGCGGGTTCCTGTGCCCGGGGTTTTTTCTCTCTCTCTCCTTCGCGTGACACTGAGACGCGCTGCAGTCAGACTCTGAAAAAGCGTTCTGAGTCAGTTTCAGGCCTTGTGACGAGCGGGTGAAGACACTCGCGGGGCCGAAGGGGGGCCAGGACCGTGTTTCTTGGCCGGCTCGCGCAGACAGAAAGGCCACTTTGTGAGAACGAAGTTGGAGGCACGGCCTTTTGTTACATCATAATTTCAGAGTCGGCTCCAGTCTGTCTATTATTAGAACACAGGCCTCAGTCTGAGAACAGAGGAGCCAGATTAGGAGCTGCCTGTTGGCTCTGGGTTCTGAGGGTGGAGGGTGGAGGGTGGGGGTGGGAGTCTCTAGGCACCTCACGATTCAATTCGATTATAAAACGATTATCGACGCATCTTAATGCATCTTTTTTCTACACAGGATTTCTTGCTTTCTCACTGTGTGAGGACTGTGTGGTACTTTAAAGCAAAGTATCTGTAATGATCCATAATGAATTTACTTCCAATATCTTTTATTAATAAATCAAATGGAAGTGATGTGGTGAGTGAACTGGAAGGCTCTCATTCACTGCTCTTGTTTGGAGCACATGAGACGCTGCTGCCACTCATCTGTGGTAAAATGCGCTGTTATGGTGAAATAAGATCCTGTGGTAATGAGTGTCCACACAGCAGATTACAGCTAGTCTACCTGCTTTCTTCAGTGAGTCCATAACTTTGGTTTTGGTGTCGTTGTAGACAGTGGGGGGGGTCACCGTGTCAGTAAAATATCTCTGAGGCGGGGCGCTGTATCTCAGCTCCAAAGTGTGCAACATAGAGCGAAAGCCCTGGTTCTCAGCGACTGAGTACGGATGCAAATCCTTGGCAATAAAAGCTGCGATAGAGTTTGTAGTCCACTTTATCCATTCCGCGTTGGGTGGAAGCTTTGACATTGCTTGATCGATGGTCCTCTGGTTGGCAGCAACTACAACCGGGTGGAAAATGGGTGGAAACATGTAATATGGTTTTCCCCCTCAACTCCATAGAAGCCAAAGTGCTTCCATACACTAGCTCAAGAGTCGGCAACCTGCGGCTCTTTAACTGCCCTGTTGTGGCTCCACAGCTGAATCAGATTAGTAGGTAAAAATAAAATAATCCTCCTTTACAGTAAAATAAAGCTCTGCTGATCGTTCAACACAGTTTAACAATAAATGGTCTTAAACTCTGGAGTTAATGTAGCCTATAACTGCTAGTTCACCCAGCTAGTAGATAACGAAAAGGCAAAGAGAGAGATTTAAGACGAAAATCGATAATTTGGAGCTGAATAGACTTCGGAACAGGAAAATTTGAACGAGAAGCTGGAGAACCAGAAACTGACTTCAGCCTTGTAAAAAGTAGTGCAGGGAAAGCTGCTGACAGTTTAGCAAGGTTAGGTGAGCAACTAGGCGAGGCGCATTTTCATACACAAGGCAGCTCAATATGGGGGTGGGCAGTTATTTCCAGCCATACAAGGCCAGTTTCAGGGGTGGACGATATGAAAAACTACAACATCACGATACTTAAAGATATTCTTACTACAATATTTAATTTAATATGTGGTTTACACTAACACAATGCACCACAAAACTATGAATACAAAGAACATTTCACACACTGTGCAGTACAGAAGCCAGCTAGAGACAGCAGTGTGTCAAATTATTGACTTAATACCTCAAAATATCTTATTTTCTCTATATAATCTCATAACAATTACTAATTATGTCATAATAATGTCTTATTATGCACTTTAAAAAGACGGTTCTTCAAGGGTTCTGCTTCTGGCAATAGTGAAGTCAAAATATTGACTTGTTTTCATGAAATATTAAATTAACATTTCAAATCAGTATCATTTTCTGACAACTTAATATCTTGAAATATTGATATATATTAAGTATATCAAAATAATTCGCTCAAGATTTGGAAAGAATGTGACAAAATTATGAGTTAATAAACTTTAAGAAAGCAAGTAAACGGTTCAGTATTTTCCTAAAAAATTATGGTTCTTCAAGGGTTCTTTAGTAAAGAAAATGGTTCTATATAGAGCCATAAACATCCAAAGAACCCTTTGCATGATTAAACGGTTCTTTGCATCATGAAAGGGTCTTCAGACTGATGGAGAACGCGTTTTATATGGTTATATAGAACTGTTCTGAAAATGGTTCTATAAAGCACCAAAAGGGCTCTTCTATTGCTACAGGCTTGACATCGTAAGTGTAGAAGAACCTTTTTTGGTGCTATACAGAACCCTTTTCAAAAAGGTTCTATACTGAACCATCTACATTATCCATCAATGTGAAGAGGCTCTTAGCGATGCGAAGAACCCTTTAATTAAGGGTTCTTTAAATGTTCATGGTTCCATATAGAACCATTTTCTTTACTAAAGAACCCTTGAAGGACCATCATTTATAAAAGTGTACAAAACCAGTTACTTACTTTAATAACTCATTATTTTGTCACAGTCTCAAAAAATAATTATTTTGAGATACTAAGGCAACATTTCAAGATATTAAGTCAATATTTCTCAAAAAGTAAGTCACTGGTTTGAGGTGTTAATTTAATATTTCACGAAATAAGTCAGTATTTTGACGTACTACTGCCAGAAACAGAGCATGCAATAATTTTGAAAAATGGGTGGAATGCCCCTTTAAACTGCCCAACACTGGCTGAGTGGTATGTGTTTGTTTGGGGGGGGGTTCTGTGTTCCTGCTGTCCCTCCTGTTTTCCTTTGCTGCTATTATGGAAAGGTTGATGGCAGCAGGCTTTGAGGTTCTCTCTAGCAGAACGAGATACCATCCCGTCACTGAAGCTGCAGCCCGAGGGTTAAAAACACACACAGAACAAAAAGCAGAGCCGCTACGCAGAACAGAGCTCTGCCAGACAGCGTGAGCCGTGTGGCGAGGCCAGCAGCAGTGAGGAACTGTGAACACCCCCTTCTTCAGAGCCAGGCTTTAGCAAGGTTTTGGTTTTGGGCGGGGCTGCACAGTTACTTCAGTTACTTTCCATTCCTGCTGCAACAAAACTTCTCCATAATCACAGCTTTACAGGACAGAATGTGCTTTTGGCCTCAACAGCACAGCATTTCAAATAGTTTAGAGTTAGTTTTTAAATATAAGAGCTATGCAACGTCTAGAAGGTCACAAAAGGTCAGTTTTCAGCTTAAAAACATTAAAAACGTCTGCATTAAATACTTGCTCAGATGTAAACAGAGTGATTCAGAGTGGTTTGGTGTGAAATGGTTCAGGTTGGTGGTGATAGGAACCAGGGGTTGCCATGACTACAACGCAAATATAGAGATATTTACTATCCAAAACCACCAGTGAGCCTACACGAGTCTTCTGAGTGTATATGGAATGTTGGTGATGGAAAATAGCGGAAAATCTGTAATAATAAGTTTTCTTTGGGGACTATTTTCCCTCACAACACCCTGCGTGTATCCCTCCACCATTTTAGGCCGAAACCTTCTCCAAACTATCGTAAAATAATGTAAAATAATGGCATCAGGAAGCGTATTCGTAACAATTTCATATATACTCTCAGAAACAAGGGTACTAAACTGTCACTGGGGCAGTTCCCCTCTCGTCACTGGGGTGGGACCCTCAAGGGTCCATCTCAGTACCTTTAGTCAGGGAACATAACTGAACCATAATCCACTGAAATGATATGTTCTAAGCTGTACTGACTCCACACACCCCGTCTCGTCTCCAGGCTTTTATTTTACTGTTCTGTTTAAAACATTCGGTTATGAAAAGGTACAAATACGAACTTTTCACCTGGAAAAACTTATTTAAGGTTCACAATCAGACCTTAAAACCACTGTTGGACCTCTGAGGGAACATTTACACTGTAATGTACAAGAAATGTACCTGCACAGAACCTTTATTTCTAACAGTGTAAAACCTTTCTGTGAGGGAGTTTTTAGAGGTGGACGTCTGGTTCCTATCACCACCACTGTGAACAATTCTGACTGTCTAGAATGAAGCATTTTCACACCGAACCACTCTGAACGACTCTGTTTACATCTTAACCATGTAATTATGCAGAAATGTTTTTAAATCAGCAGCGTTCTCATTTAATGGTGTACTATACTGTAGAAGAAGGGTGTGGTTCTGTGAAAAACCTGGCATCTAACTGCAGAAACCCAGCAGAAAGGCTTCAGGCATGAAGGGTAGTAACTGATTTAATCGTCAGCTGCTCTGAGGTCTGGTCTGAGCATGCACACTGCACTCTGCATGCGTTCTTCACTGTCTATGTGATAGAGCAGCAGCTGTCAACGTTCCTGATCTGGGAGTGGTTAGGAGACACATGGTGGGTTTCTTTCTTCTGCCACTGTGGGAGGGCTCGAGGCGGAGCCTACAGTAGGTTATGGCCTCCGAAAAACTACCAGAGGCAGTAAACAACTGTTATATAAAACTGGATGGGATGACAAAGCCTACCTTATTCAGCCATTCCACCTTCTCCACGTCCGGGAAATTGACCTGCGGGACAATAAAGACAGTAATGCATCCGATTCTGTCGTAACGTAAAAGGATGTGGTTGTTACAAACAAGAAGCTCATCACAAAACAGACTTTAAATACTCCTTAAATGGAAGAAATAGCTGACATATTTCTCCTATCTGTCAAGAAAAAACTCCCCAGCCTCTGTGTGAGCATGTTTCAGCAGATTTCTTCAGGGAGTAAAGAGGCTCTTATGTGTGGGCAGAGGCTACTTTATTTACTTAAGAACCCTTTTTTGCACTTTTTATGCACTTTATTTATTTCCCTGATGTCCTCTTACAACATTTGTGTGATTATATGTATCAAAAACAGTCATAATTCACTTTTAAATGACCATTTTCCAACCTCTCTGCGTCCGTTAGAATTAAACAGACTGATTTTGGTTACAGTGCGTTTAAGACTGACATCGCTGTTGTCAGAAGAAAACCTCGTATCTCCAAAATGGTAACTTTACAGGAGAAGGAAAAAACCATTTTCACTTTTAATGTAAGTCAATGGAACCAGACTTTTTTCCAAGTGATTTTTGGCCGTTTCTTTTGGTCCATTCATCACGAAATTTAAAAACAATGTAAAGGACGACAGACATTTTCAAATTATGTAAAAAACTGAAAAACGGCAAAAATAGAGATACGAGGTTTTCAGTTATATGTAAATGACATCTGTTCTGATTGGCTGCCATGCATTGAGTCTCATTTGAAAAAGCAGTCCTTATAGGCTCAGCATGAATGCGCGGAGCCAAACTGCTGCATGCAAAATAGATGGATATCTGTATATATATAAATGCATTGGTTTTTGTGACATCACAAAAAACAATAAATTACAAACAGACCATTTTTGCCGATTAGCTTCCATATATGGTCTGCTGAGCGGTCAGTGTGTCAAAACTTTATTAATGTTTACACACCCGCATCAAACTATTATTTCAAGAAGATAGAAAATTCCACGATACAGACTCTGTAAGTCAAACCACAACTGATATTTGATTACAAAGCAGAGAGGTCAAAGGTATGTTGCACTGCTCAAATATGTAAACAAAATTCTATAATTTAATATAAATTAGTTTAAAATAGTACACAAAAATAAGAAGTAGTGCTGAATGGTATGGTTTTAAGGTACAGCAATATTTATACTGATATATTTGAGAGATAATGTGCATTATTACAGCATTATGCAGGTGTCTCAGTTCCCAAAAGGTTTGTTTTCAGCATTATAATTCTATTTTATGTGCGTCACTGATGGCATCCAGATCGTGGTAGTTAACTACAGGGTGTGTCGTTTACTGGGAGCTTCAGACTGTTGTAATACAACAGTTTAAAATCTATCAAATCTAAGTAAATAGTGCGTTTCCTTCTGCAAATGCGCCTTCTGTCTGGTTAATGTTTACAATACTGCATCTAAAACAGGTTATATTTCATGTTTGTAAGACACTCTTTTAACACAGAATATCAGTATTCAGATATCACGGAGTAATTCACATCAATGCAGACTTAAATACTATCTGGTGCCACAATACTGTGATATATTTGGAGAACCCTGTGATATTGATAATATCAGTATCATCCAGCACTAACGAGAAGCCCTTCAAAGCAGCTGTGCATGTGTTTATACTTTGCTGAGCTGAGCTTAATGACTCCACATTATCCCTCTAAGCCAGTCGTGAGTAGACGGGGAATGACGGGGCATTAAGCAGTGGAGAGATGGGCTGGACTGTAAAAGGAGGCGTATTAACCCTCTGGAGTCCACGTTTCTATATCTGTGTCTGTATATTTGTGATGATCCAGCACAGAAATCCAGTTCAATCATTTCCAGAATCTGTAGAGTTTCCGTCTTATCATGAGATCATACGAGATTCACATCCGGAGTTATGAGCCTGTGAAGAGGGGCTGAGATACACGTCATCTGCCTCTCACCGTGTGGAGCTGGTGGATTTGAGCTACACTGCCTCCTGTGTCTCAGCTTTATGATTACACTACTCTAAAACCTTTTCTCAAAATCCCAAAAAATGTCCTGTCAGTTGAAGCAAAACACTTTTAAGTCATTTTTAACCCGTTTCACATGAATCTGTAATCACTGTCTTTGGTATCATGATATACCTGTGAGTGAAAGTGGGTCTGAGGGAGGGTCTCTGAGCTAGCTGAGCGTTTTCTCTCCATGATAGTGGGGCGTGATGGGAGGGGGAGGCGAAATACGTTTTTATTGGCTAATCATTTTTGCCCCGCCCACTAGTGCATGATGATGTAATCAAAAACCAAATACATTTTAGATGAGAGGCAAAAGTCACAACATTTTCATGGAAAGAAAACAAAAGTTTTGTCTGTTAAATTATGAAATATGTTAATATATATAATATGAATATGTAAAATTATTCTTAATATGACTAGGAACAATGTAAAAAGGGTGAGTTTTTATTTCAGGCTGTCTTTTAATACCAGCTTTAACACCCACTATGAGTCCAAAAGGGCTGTATAGCGCAAAATGATATGCATGATATGCATAATTTCATACAGAGCGCTACTTTGTGAGGTTCACTGCAACATTTCCAAGCTTGTTTGAGCTTTCAGTGAAGATTCCCGACAGCAAACCTCTATGAAACCATAAGTGCTGTAAAAATGTACGTATTATTACTATCGATTTTTTGCAATTTTTTTCAATATCATGATAATTTCCATATATATTATGCCATCATGGCTTTAGATGACCTTTAATGAAGCATTATGGAAGTTAACGAGCACGTGAAAGCATCTTATGAACCTTATATGGCTTGTTTTGGACTGTTTTTGTTATCCGCCCTGAAATGACACCAAAGCAAAACCTTTCGCACTATCACAGTTTTACAGAATGCGCATTTGCAGAAAGGAAACAAACTCTTTACTTAATGTTTATGCATTTTAAACTGCTCTTAAGTTGGCTGCCAGATCCTGGATCCCACAGAATTAAAAACTAAAAAGAATTCAGCTATTTTATAGACGTATGCCAATTATCGTCCACATACATCGCTTAACCTGTATCGCGGTATATCGATGTATCGCCCAGTCCCTCTCAGATTCTTACCCAAGCAGGAAGATCTCTTTTCGCCACGCTTGCAGAGGAGCTCTCCTGATCTTCACCCAGAGACTGTATGGCAGCTTTTAGACGAGCTTCTTTGGCCTCTCGGGTGTGTTTCCAGCCCGAATAGACCATGAGGCCGAAGACCACCAGGCTGGTGCTCACTCTGTAGTACCCAGCCAAGTAGACGGGCAGCAGCGCCGTTAGGCACTTCCCAAAAGTCCACAGGATCGCCATGGGGTCGATTCTTCCGCTCCTCACCGCCGTCTCCTCTCTGCTCGGAGCTTCTTCCGGCGCTTTAGTCTCCTCTGAGGCCTCTGGGGTGGTCCTGCTGGGCTCGGGGGTCTTCTCTGCCATCGTGGCGAAGTTGTTTTCCTCCCCCAACGCTCAGAACAACACAACAGGGAGCTCGCGCTGCAGTGAGATAGCGGTGCAGTAAGGCAGCCTGCAGCTGAACTGCATCTGTTCCTCCCCTCGCGCTTGCGCTCGCGCTCTGGGCGTCTGAGAGAGAGAGAGAGAGGGGAGAGGGTGGGCTGCTGCTGCTGAGGGGGGAGTGTAAATGCGTCGCAGTGCGGATCTGCTCTGCTGAGCTCGTTTGCGCGCCGTGACTCAGCCTGAAAGAATGAGCTGGTTCCTCATCAGTCAGCCAAGTCCTCAAAACTCCTCCACTGAACTTTTTCTGCTGCTCTGCTTCCTGTAGCCCCAAAACAGGCTGTGAGAGGCCTGACCTGCTCAGCTCGGCTCTGCTGCTGGATGGAAACGCCCAGAAAAAAACGCAGCAGTTTTTTGGAGAAGAGTCAGAGATGCATAGATAGCAAATAGCTCTCCAGCACAGCCCCCATGCCAAGTCATGCACAGAGAAACAGGCAGGGATTAAAGGGGAATCCCACCCAACATTAATGCATATGGGTCATTCTACAGAAACGTCCACTTTCCTGTCTCTCCATAGGAGTCAGTGGTGTTACTGATCCTCATTGGTGTTACACATAATAAAGGAACACCAGAGACATTTTAATGAAACATGCATTTCACTAAATAACTGCTACAGAGCATCAAACCACATGTTGTCAATCATGGAATATCCACTAAAATATGGAATTTAATCCATTTGTATTCTATTTTTTCACAGTTACCTCAGAATAAAGTCGGTCACACCAGTGACTTCAGCTAAAAGCTTCATATGAAATCATGAGCTGAATGAGAAAATCTCTGATAACTGAAAGACACAGTGGACTCACCATGAGCTTTTCTTCATAGATCCTCAGAAAACAGGTAAAAGGAAGTCGAGTGATGTCATCAGTGTGACTTTTATTTCAAAATATAATATAAAAGATTTTTTGTTACACAGTAACACCAGTGACACGACTCCTGGGGAACTTTCATTATATATTTTATAATATTTATTTAGCATTTGTTTTCTTTATGTCATCTCCATAGTCATGTATAGAGTATTGTAGTTAAAATTGCAGAAAAATGTGTTTTTTTTCTTCAAAATATGGCCTCAGCCTTCACACATGACTGTGGGGATGAGCTCTTCTGTGGTGCCTGGAATTCTAGATAATTGACATGTTTTTAAGTGTAATATATCTGTAAACGCTAGGGACACAAAAATGGACGTTTTTGTAGAATGACCCATATTCAGTCCCTGAGATGATCATTCAGAGTGGTTTGGTGTGAAATGGTTCAGATGTCTTTACAGTGGTGGTGATAGGAACCAGCGGTCGCCATGACTACAACACAAATATAGACATTTTATTTACTATCCAGAACCACCAGAGAACCTACACGAGTCTTCTGGGTATTTATTCTGCCTCACTATTTTGCCTCACACCTCCCTGCATGTATCCCTCCATCATGAATGGATAAAAATGCATTTTAGGCCAAAAAATGATCATAACTTTCATAAAAGTGTCTCAGTGTATTCAGTCCCATTTCACATAGTAACTTTCTGTGAGGGAGCTTTTAGAGGTGGACGTCTGGTTCCTATCACCACCACTGTGAACAATTCTGACCGGTAAGTTTCTCTAGAACAGAGCGTTTCGCAGTTATAATTAGTAGTTATAATTTTCTGGACTGTTATGTTGAGATAACAAATTAATTATCTTGTAATCTCAAGATAACAAAGATCATAAGTTAATTATCTTGTGATCTCTAAATAAGAAAGTTGTTATCCTGATATCATGACTTAATTATCCTGTGATTTCAGGATAACAAAGTTGTTATCGTGAGATTACAAGTTAATTATCTTGTGATCTCAAAATAAAGTTATTATCCTGAAATTAGGACAATTATCCTGTGATCTCAAGATAGCAGTTATCTTGAGATCACAAGTTAATTATCTTGTGACCTCAAAATAAAGTTGTTATACTAAGCTCATGACTTACTTATCCTGTGATTTCAAGATAATAAAGTTATCTTGAGATTACAAGTTAATTATCTTGTGATCTCAAAATAACAAAGATGTTACCCTGAGATCAGGACAATTACCCTGTGATCTCAAGATAGCAGTTATCTTGAGATCACAATTTAATTATCTTTGACATTAAAATAAAGTTGTTATCCTGAGATCATGACTTACTTACCCTGTGATTTCAAGATAAAGTTATCTTGAGATTACAAGTTAATTATCTTGTGACCTCAAAATAAAGTTGTTATACTAAGATCATGACTTACTTATCCTGTGATTTCAAGATAATAAAGTTGTTATCTTGAGATTACAAGTTAATTATCTTGTGATCTCAAAATAACAAAGATGTTATCCTGAGATGAGGACAATTACCCTGTGATCTCAAGATAGCAGTTACCTTGAGATCACAAGTTATGTCATCTTGTGACATTAAAATAATAGTTATCCTGAGATCATGACTTACTTACCCTGTGATTTCAAGATAAAGTTATCTTGAGATTACAAGTTATCGTGTGATCTCAAAATAACAGATGTTATCCTGAGATCATGACAATTATCCTGTCATCTCAAGATAACTTGTGATCTCAAGATAACTGCCATCTTGTGATCTCAAAATAGCAAATTTTTATCTTGAGATCATGACAATTATCCTATCATCTCAAAATAGCAAAGTTTTTAACTTGAGATCACCACTTACTTATCTTGTGATCTCAAAATAACAGATGTTATCCTGAGATCATGACAATTATCCTGTCATCTCAAGATAACTCGTGATCTCAAGATAACTGCTATCTTGTGATCTCAAAATAGCAAATTTTTATCTTGAGATCATGACAATTATCCTATCATCTCAAAATAGCAAAGTTTTTAACTTGAGATCACCACTTAATTATCTTGAGATCACCACTTAATTATCTTGTGATCTATTAACTAGTTATCTTAAGGTAACTTCCCAGAAAAGTATAGCAACAGCTCGTGGCCTCTCCGGACCTCTGAAATGTTGGATAGTGGGAATCAGTGAGCCATTTCACATCAAACCACTCTGAATGAGTTCAGTTACATCCTGATCACTGAATCATGCAGGAAGTGTGAGTGAAGGTCTCCTTTAAGCCATGGAATCTGAGTGTAGTTCATGATTTGCAAACTGAGTCTCGTGTTTAGCGTCGTGGTCTATTTAGTATTCAGCACACATTTGCATGATTTTGCATACAGCCTTTGTGGATTTCTGTACCTGGAAGGCCACTTACCTTTACAGTGGTGGTGACAGGAACAGGGGTCGCCATGACTACAACACAGATATAGACATTTTATTTACTATCCAGAAACACCAGTGGACCTACACGAGTCTTCTGGGTATTTATTCTGCCTCACTATTTTGCCTCACACCTCCCTGCATGTATCCCTCCATCATGAATGGATAAAAATGCATTTTAGGCCAAAACTATCATAAAAGTGTCTCAGTGTATTCAGTCCCACTTCATGTAGTAACTTTCTGTGAGGGAGCTTTTAGTGGTGGACGTCTGGTTCCTATCACCACCACTGTGAACAGTTTATATGGAATGTTGATGATGGGAAATAGTGATTCTGATTTCTTTGGGGAATATTTTGCCATGAATGGACCAGATCCCCAAATATCTCAACCAGATTCCCAGAGGATATGGAAGGAAAACAGCCCCACAGTAACCCAGATCCACCCCAGCACTGCACAGTGTGGATTAGATTCCTTGTAGTAACTGTATTCAGGCTCCCTCTCCACATCTGCTAATGCCAAACCCACCTCTGGTGCTTCCTGCTTTTGTCTCACCTCAGTTGCAGTGATACTATCAAACTCCAGAGTCTTACTTTTGTGGCGTGATGACAGCAGAGTTTCCTTCGAGCTCTGTAAACAGCTCGTTGGTATGAAGGTGGAGTCTAATTGTAGTTGTGCAGAATTGGTGACCCCTTAACCATCTACAGCACGTTCTCCATCAATCTGAAGAACCATTTTACGATGCAAAGAACCCTTTAATCATACAAAGCGTTCTTTGAGTGTTCGTGGATCTCCATAGAACCATTGTCTTTACTAAAGAACCATTGAAGAACCATCTTTAAAAGTGTAGAATCTTCAAGATATTATTGTCATTTTGCAACACATTCAGAACCTCATAGCAACACCCTAACAACCACCTGGGATATCATAGCAAACATCTGGGGTTGCATAGCGAATGCCTAGCAACACCCTACACACTTAAATATGATGGTTCTCAAGTGCTCCTTACTAAAGAAAATGGTTCTATATAGAACCATGAACACTCAAAGAACCCTTTGCATGACTAAATGGAGCTTTGCATCGTGAAAGCGTTCTTCAGATTGATGGAGAATGTGCCTTGGGTGGTTCTATATAAAACCTTTTTGAAAACGGTTCTATAGAGCACCAAAAGGGTTCTGTTACTGTTACAATGTCAAGCTTGTCACAATAGAAGAACCCTTTTTGATGGTATATAGAACCTTTTTTTTTTTTAAAAGATGCTACATAGAACCACCTACAGCACATTCTCCATCAATCTGAAGAACCATTTCATAATGCAAAGAACCCTATAAAAAGCAAAGGGTTCTTTGAGTGTTCGTGGTCCTCTATAGAACCATTTTCTTTTCTAAAGATCCCTCGAAGAACCGTCTTTTTTAAAAGTGTAGAAGCTTCAAGGTATTTGTCATTTTGCAATACATTCACAACCTCGTAGCAACACCCTTGCAACCACCTGGAATGCCATAGCAACCACTTAGCAACACCCTACACATTTAAAAATGACGGTTCTTCAAGGGTTCTTTAGTAAATGGTTCTATATAGAAACAAACACTCAAAGAACCCTTTACACGATTAAGGGTTCTATGCATCATGACAGGGTTCTTCAGGCTGATGGAGAAGGTGCTATATAGCACCACCTAAGGCACATTTTTTCCCAAGCCTTTTTGGACCATTTCCTTTGATGCAATCATCATCAAATTTACACATAATGTAAAGGGCGACAATATTTTTTTAAATGGTCAAAAAACGAAAAACTGAAAAACTAAATTGTCAAAAACAATTTTCAGAGCTGCAGCTATAAAGCCATGTATTATTTAGTCACTATGTGAAAAAAGACCACAGGCCTTATATGTGGTTGACAGTTTCATTCATTTTGTGCAAAAAGATCAAAAATCACTTCACACAAACGTAATCCACAAAAAAAGACCACAAATGAGAGCAAACATGTAAATTCACAACCTCTTTCCAGTAAATCGACGGGTAACGTACGTACGTTACACGGACACGTCCGCGTTTTATGACGTTCGTATGTGTCTTTAGCACAAACACATCACTGGTTTACAGTCAGAAACAACTGTTCATTAAAACACTTCACCAGTGAGTGAGTAATAAAGGGACGTGCTAGTTTCCTCGTAGCTCCGTGTGCTGGTGTGCAGTAGTCATCTCTCAGGTCCATGGAGAAGCTGACAGGCGTGTGAGCTGCATGAGTTCTGACCGATGCTGGCATCTGCTAATGTGGCAGGGTGGTGATCCTCATACTCTGACTTGCAATGGGATACGACACCATCGGCGTTGTGGCGTGACTCATCGTGATGCCCGGTAACGGCTGCGCCATGGACACGGCAACCGGCGCCACAGAGACCGCGACAGGTGCCATAGAAACGGGCGGGGCCATGCCCTGCGCGATAGTCTGAGCGAGCGCGGCGGAGAGGGGGGCGATCTCTGGGTTCAGATGGGGCGGCGGGGCGGTCGGGGGCGCGGCGTTGGCCGGGGGGGCCGTAGGGGCTCCTGCTGGAGCGACCAAGTCCTGCTGGGTGACGGGGCGAGGCTGGAGCCCCGCGCTGCTCAGGGTGGTGTGAGTCTGGGCAATGCCGTGGTTGTAGGAGCTCACAGAGCCAACAGGGGGCGCCAGATTCTGCTCAGACGGGGCGGGGGTGGAGGAGAGAGTCATGACTTTAGCCTGGCTGCGGAACTGAGCGTTTTGCTCCAGCAGGACTTCATTGGTGGCGATGAGATTGGAGACCTGAGGTGTTGGAGAAAAAAACAAAAAAGACACAAATCAATAACAATTTATTCAGTAGACTTGTTACCTGTGAAACTGCCTCAGTTCATTTACTAAACCCTGTTGTAAACTACCTCATACCCCTTAGCACAACACCTGCTCACAGGTAAATACAACAATCTGTCTTAAATGCTATGTAAATATGAAGATAGATATACTTTTATTCATACGCTTTCATATTTTCACTTATGTCTATTTTTCTATTTCTGCCTAATTTATGTAAGTTTATGTATTTATGTCCTGCTACTGTAACTGCAATTTCCCATTTTGGGATCAATAAAGATCGATCGATCTATCTATCTATCTATATATCTATCTATCTGTCTGTCTGTCTATCAATCAATCAGCTGGTCTATCTGTCTATCTATCTATAAACTGATCAATCAGTCTGATTGTCTACCAATCAGTTTGTCTGTCTATCTATCCATCTATCAGTCTGTCTCCCTGTCTTTTGAACAGTTTGTATATCCATCTATCCATCCAGCCATCCATCAATCCATACATACATACATACATCAGTCTGACTGTCTATCAATCAATAAATCAATCAGTCTATCTATCTAGCTATCTATCGTTAACACATCGTCTACAGGAGACAAACAAATATGCTATTTTTATGTAAATCTCAGTGCATATTTTCTATTTATTTGCAGATTTTAACATGTAGGAAAGAAATACAACACAAAATATAAAATGAGCCCTAACATAATTACACAGGCCACATTCTATATCTTAGTTTTTCCCCCCAATATGTTAAATTCAGCAAACAAACAGTGAGTGTGTTCTCTGTTAACTTACTTCCACTTAGAGAGTCAACACAACACAGACAGTATAAACACAAACAAAATATCCTGTTCCACCTTAAATGGTGCAGCAGTTCCGATGTCTGAGGTGCCAGAATGTAA